CTCCCTCCCTCGCTGCGTCATCTCCTCCGTTGTGCTATCCCTGGAGTGATCGAAGCAATTGATTAAAGATGTCAAGCCTTTTCAGTATTGGGGTTGAGAAGTGCTCCAGGTAAAAATGTTTACTTGATTGGGTTGAGAAGTGCTCCAGGTTAAAATGTTTACTAGATTGGGAGGAATGTGGCGTAGGTATGATGGATCTTCGGCGATATAACATATGTCATGTTCTTTGGTTTTTGCATAAGTTGCATGGGTATGCGAATACCTCATTGGCAATTGCTTCCTCTCTACTAGGAACATGTTGAACCCTAAGTGCAAGGGTTTATAGCAAGCAGCAGATTCCCTTAAGTGACCTCAAGTTTATCGAACCAAGAGGAGCTACGCAATTACAACCAATGATCAGTACCTGCACACACAAATACAAAACCTCCTTGTGGCCCCCAACATGACTAGTGAGGTTGTCAATCCCACTAGTGAAAGATCATGGATATCGCTTACAGGAGGGTGAGGGAGTCCTGGTTAAGGGGGTCTTCGGGTGTCCGGGCTGTGTGATATGGGCCGGATTGATGAGTCGTGAAGATACAAGGTAGATGACCTTCCCCCGTGTCTGGATCGGACTCTCCTATGCGTGGGTGGTAAGATTGGTGTCCGGATATGTAATTTCCTTCTTCTGCAAACCGACTCTGTACAACCCTAGGCCCCTCTGGTGTGTATATAAACCGGAGGGTTTAGTCCATGGAGGCCATCAGAATTCATATAGGCTAGACATCTAGGGTTTTAGCCATTACGATCTCGAGGTAGATCGACTCTTGTAACCCCTATACTCATCATATACAATCAAGCAGGACATAGGGTTTTACCTCCATTAAGAGGGCTCGAACCTGGGTAAAACATTGTTGAAAGGATCGATATAGTTGACTAGAGGGGGGAGTGAATAGGCAACTAACAATTTTAAACTTTTCTTTACGAATTTAAACTTTGCATCAAAGTAGGTTGTCTAGATATGCAACTAGGTGAACAACCTATATGATACAACAACAACAAGCACACACGCAAGCAAGGGATATAACACAAATAAGCTTGCACAAGTAAAGGCACGAGATAACCAAGAGTGGAGCCGGTGAAGACAAGGATGTGTTACCGAAGTTCCTTCCTTTTGAGGGGAAGTACGTCTCCGTTGAGCGGTGTGGAGGCACAATGCTCCCCAAGAAGCCACTAGGGCCACCGTATTCTCCTCACGCCCTCATACAATGCGAGATGTCGTGATTCCACTATTGGTGCCCTTGAAGGCGGGGACCGGACCTTTACAAACAAGGTTGGGGCTCTCTCCACAACCGAATTGGAGGCTCCCAACGAAACCATAGAGCTTCACCACAATGGAATGTGGCTCCGAGGTGACCTCAACCGTCTAGGGTGTTCAAGCACCCAAGAGTAACAAAATCCACACAAGAAAGTATGGGGAAGCAAATATCCTTTGGTGGAAGTGTAGATCTAGGTCTCCTCCTTCAATCCCTAGCAAATCAACAAGTTTGAGTGGCTAGAGAGAGAGATCGGGCAAGGGAGATTGAGTGGCATTAATGGCGGAGTGAGAGAGGTAGGAGGTAAATGTGGTAGGTGGAAGAACCACCCTTATATAGCAAACCCTAAATCCAACCGTTACTGCGAATTCTGTACTGCAGCGGTACAACCAGTCCTTGCCCCGGTACAACCGGGCCTCACAGTTTACCAGCAGAAGCCTACTAGGCGGTACAATCGGGCGAGCAGGCGGTAGTACCGGTCTATGAGAACAACCGGAACAACCGCCCAGCCACCGCTCAACCACCGCAATGAAACAGTAGGGTGTCACCCTGAGTGCGGTAGTCGAGCGGTACACGACCGGTGCAATCGCCCGGCCTTGGACGCTTGAGCGGTTAAGTCCCAAGCGGTAGAACCGCTCGGGGCAC